TTCTTGTTCCTATAGTATAATTGCCTCCAAGCAACTTGCGATGGCCTCCACCGAGCATAGCGTCCTTGTTTACATTCTTGGATGCTCATCAGAAACGCACCCAACTTTGGGATCCAAGAGGAAGCTGTGTTCATGTGGTCAGTTTGGGTCCTTTCTCTTTAAAAAACGATCGCTGGTCTCTGAAGTCAACGATCGCTTCACCCCAGGGCAACAATTTATTGGGGTGTACCACGACCTGCACAAAAATTCACCATCCGTCGAAAAAATCGTGCCGGAAAACACGAAGAACATCGTTCGATATCGTTCGATCTGGGGGTCGTCGCAACCCGGGTTTCCTTCGCGACCAGACGGGTTGAAACGAAGAACGACGGGTGGACACGGTTTTTTGGCTCCGAGAAAAGTTTTAGGAATACCTGGGCCAGGATATGGATGGCCAACATGTTTTTGGTAGAAACGCCAACGAAGTGTGCCCTGTTTCTTCCATTGTTCTTCCACTGTCATGTGCCTCTTGACCACTGTGCCGCGACCAGCTGACCAGTGTGCATTTCTACTATTTCTACGGTCACCATCTAGCCAGCTGATCCTTGGTTTCAAGCCTCTCCTTGGTTTCGAGACGGACCCAGCCCCCGGTCGCCGCCGAGGATGGGCGACCCGGACTGGGAGGCGCGCCCCGCTTCTCGCGTTCACTTCAAAGGTTGGTGCCAGAGGGTTTCCGCGTGTGTGGAACTGAGAGGTTTTGTTTCTTGCGTTGCTTGGGGCGGTTTTTCTTTGAGGAAAGGAAGGTTTGTTTGGATGGTTGCTTCGTGGATGAAACCAAGAGATCGACTGTACCCGGCCGTCGATCCATGTTTTGACCGTATACCAATCGCTGTTGAACACCGGTGTGGCGCTAACATACGGTGTGGGAACGGCCGTAGACCGGAGGATTGTGTCGACTTGGATGGGCGACCTTCTGGGGAGGTTGGATGGATGGTCCACTTGTCCTTTCACTGAGCTGAGGGGAGTTTGAATGGCTATTGTGGATCTTTTTTTTCGAATGCTATGTGTGGAGACCCTTTTTCGGTGCCGGAGGGTCGTTGTCAGAGCATCCCGCCAGGCCCAGCTGAGACGCTGGAGGGAAAACGAGGAGGCCGAGCGAAAGCAGTTGGAGGCTCGACTGGGGCGGTGATCAGACATATCAAACATTTGATCAAGCTTTGGATTGGTGAGGACTGAAGAAAGTGGACAACCCACAAGACTCAAAGAAAAGGCTGAGCAAGGTACAGTTAGCTTTTGGAATTAGGAGTGTGGCCAGGCCATTACTCAACCCAGCCAACCCAGCCTAGTTTGCTTGAGACTTCGGAGGCTAGAAACAGGTGCTTCTATAGTCTTTGAGTCTGTGAACCTTCACGCGGATCTTGCTTGGCCCAAGGGACCTTCTTCGTTGTTTTTCGCAGGGAACGAAGGTACAGTTGTCGGACCTTGATGAGAGAAGACCAGGGTAAGAACCTGTACTGTACTGACAGTGGGGTGGGGTTGAGGGAAGAACCCAGGTCAAAAGACTCACTCCCAACAATCCCACAGCGCCCAGGTGGAACGGCTCCGGGTGCGCTTGGAGGATGAGTCGGATCAGCGACAGAAGCAGGAGAGGTGGATGACACCCGCTGCGGGTGTGGCACGAAACATCTAAAGCAACGGGCTCCTTGGGCCCACGGTCGGTTGGGGCGAAGAACATGCGAAGGTCTGAAATGGTGAAGGGGGATTTTGGCGCTTTTTTGGGAGCTTCCCAGTTCACATGGTAGATATGAACGCGACGCTGCTGCTTCTAGATGTCTTAGCCAGGGTCACTTGGGGGCGATTCCCAACACCATCGGATTTAAGGCACAACACTTCCCCAAAGAGGTTTCGAGTTCCTTTTCAGTTTGTGTGCATACATTACACGAGGGGTTAGGCTTGCTGCTGTGCCAAGCAGGACGTTGCCAAGCGATACGTGGAAGAGCTGGAGCAGAAGAAGAGGGAATATGCCCGTGAGCCCAGGGCCAGTGGATTGAGATGGTTGCAGCTGGGTCTCACTCTATTCTCACTAACGCATGTGGACTGCATGGAACCTGAAACAAGATCGCTGGCGGCTTTTTTCCGAAGATCAGGCCATCGCAGTGCCATCCCCGGGTGGTTCATACTGCCACTCCTGACACCTCGTCCGGGGCGACCATTCATAGACACCCATTTGTCCTCTCACCGTTCTGGTCGCCGGTCGCCGGAGGATGAGGCGCTCCAGAGGCTGAAGGAAGTGCAAGAGGAGCATCGCAAGCAGCAGGACGAGTGGCGTACTTTTTGTGGAGTATCACCATGAAAATTTGAGGAGATCACTTTGAACAGAAGAAACTGTTCTTCCTGCTTGGTAGGGAAGCAGATGGGAACCAACTAGGAAACCAAGGACTCATGGGCCATGCTCGTCCTGTGCGGCGCCACACAGGAAGAGGAGCACCGCCGCCGCCAGCACGAAGAGGCGGAGCGAAAGAAGAGAGAGGCGGAGCGAACGCTGATGCGCGTGTGATGCCGCGTGTGATGCCGTGATGCGCCGCGGCCGATCCTCTGACCCACGGAACCCCAGAGCTGTAGGCTTAGGTCGCTGGTTGTGGGCCCTGTGGGATGGTCGGTCCAAAGTAGAACCTCCGGCCTCGTGTACAACGGACCAGGCAGAGGAGGAGGTCCGGATCGAAGAAGAAGTCGCTGAGCGCGTGCGGCGCAGAGCTGGGGTCCCCAGGAGGAGCGGAAGAAGTCATAGAACTGACAGTGTCATTGTGGTATGGAGGTCCTGAATCTCCACGAAGCGAGGCTCAGAGAGGTTTTGAGAGGATTTGGAGACCAAACCAACCCTCTCTTCCCTAAGTAGTGGTGCTTAGTGGTGCTTCACCTCCCTGTTTCACCTCCCACCAGGCAGGTTGATCCAAACACCCATCGATTTGGTTCCCATTGCCTGTCGCCCTGAGGTCGAGGAGGAAACCCAGCGCCAGGTGCTGGTGGCTCAGCGCGCGGCCGAGCGACGCCAGAGGGAGAAGGAGGCAGGGGTGGAAGCAACGTGGCGCATCCACGGCCTCCGGATGGAAGGGCAACGGGGGCATGGCACAGCTGGCGAGCTAGGTGATAGATCTTTTGCCAACTTGTTTTTTGGGGAGGTGTGGGAGTGTACAACTTTTTTCAGATAGGGGGGATGGATTGGACTGGTTCGTAGTACTAGTAGCAGACCGAAGAAGTTTGGAGTCGCTGGCTTCGGCTTGAGGCTTCCTAGAGAGTTTGGAAGAACCACAGGTTGGGTAATTTGAGGGTATTAATTTGGAGTATTAGGAAGAACCACCACCACCTCCTCCTCCTCCTCCACCTCCTCCTTCTCCTCCCCTCCTCCACCTCTAAGCGTTTCTCTAGCCGCTTCTCCCTTCGTTTTCAGGAGGAGCAGCGTCGCCTGGCGGCGCTGGAAGAGGAGCGCCAGCGGATCCTGGAGGAGGAAGCCAAGCGCCGCTTGGCCGCAGCGGCCCAGGTGTTCAGCCCGGCAGCGGAACAGAGGTGTTCACGGATGGTGGGGACAGAGCTGATGGTGGGGAGTTTCAACGGATGAGAATCCAGGAGTCACATTTTCATCTCCCAAGCTGAGTGGAGTAGATGGGCACCCCCTATCCTATCCTCCCAATGTGGCACCCCCTATCCTCCGTGACTCCTGGATGAGTGTCTTGCTCTCTTCGTCCGGTTGGTCAGCTATGCTTGGCGCGTGCCAAGTGCGGGCCGTTTCCGACGCGTCGACGACGTCGGTGGTGTTGGCTGTGTCGGTCTAGGCCTGGTGGCCCTGGAGCAAGAATCCCAGCAGAGGGATGTGGAAGAGGCCTGGGATTGCTCAAATCCAGCGCCAGGGATCAGATGTGAAGGGATCAGAAGTGAGACAAATGGATCAATGTTGGCTATCCTTCCATGTCCCATGCGATCGTTCCTCAAAAGAAAGTGTGGGAACCATGACTTGCTTGAAGCAAGCGGGCTTTCCACCTGGTAGTTTCCTTAGGCAGCCTGTTCCGCAAGTTCTGATCGGGCTCAAAAGCAGTGACCTTCGCATTGACCTTTACATTTGCTCCCACCATGAAGGTTTTGTCGTCGACCTTGGCTGTGCTCCTGTGCTTGGCTGCTGGGCAAGATCACCACCTGCGAGGGAATGCAGCTGCTTCAGCTGAGGCAGAGCCTGTCCCAGTGACCGAGCCCGTTGCGGAGGAAGGTGCTCCAGTTGAGCTTGCGAGCCTGGGAGTTGAGTCAAACTCTGAAGCTGCAGGTGCCACGTGTGAGAAATGGGTCACTTGCAAGGATGGCTTCTTTGGCAACATCAAGTGCGGTGGCTCTCGTTACTGCAAAGTATGGGGGCCTGCACCGGGGCCGCATGGGGCTAGTTGCAAGAAATGGGTCACGTGCAAAGACGGCTTCTTTGGCAACATCCGTTGCTCTGGCTCTCGATATTGTGAAGCCTGGCGGTAGGCGGCCAAAGGGCATGCTGCCAGAGATAAGAATTTTGAGTCCAACTTTTGATAGCTCAGCTTGTGCAACTTCTGTGCTTTGTAGCTGGGCAGTTCTGATTTGGTATGTAAAGGATCACAGGCCATTGGCCAGTCCAGATCAGAACATTCCTTATGTGTGTGGCCGTGAGAGCTTCCTATACAGACGGAACCTCGCGACATGTTCTCTGTTCCACCGGCTGGACTGAGGACCACGGCACGGAAGCGGAGAAAAACTTGCCATGCAGGTCATGCAGGGCCGGGGATTTATGCACATGAGTACGTAGGTGTTCCTCCATTTTTTGTGCATTTAGCAAGTGAGTGATTGAATAGCTCAGGGTTTTGCTGTAGCTGCAGCTAGTGTGGGAACCATGACTTGCTTGAAGCAAGCGGGCTTTCCACCTGGTAGTTTCCTTAGGCAGCCTGTTCCGCAAGTTCTGATCGGGCTCAAAAGCAGTGACCTTCGCATTGACCTTTACATTTGCTCCCACCATGAAGGTTTTGTCGTCGACCTTGGCTGTGCTCCTGTGCTTGGCTGCTGGGCAAGATCACCACCTGCGAGGGAATGCAGCTGCTTCAGCTGAGGCAGAGCCTGTCCCAGTGACCGAGCCCGTTGCGGAGGAAGGTGCTCCAGTTGAGCTTGCGAGCCTGGGAGTTGAGTCAAACTCTGAAGCTGCAGGTGCCACGTGTGAGAAATGGGTCACTTGCAAGGATGGCTTCTTTGGCAACATCAAGTGCAGTGGCTCTCGTTACTGCAAAGTATGGGGGCCTGCACCGGGGCCGCATGGGGCTAGTTGCAAGAAATGGGTCACTTGCAAAGACGGCTTCTTTGGCAACATCCGTTGCTCTGGCTCTCGATATTGTGAAGCCTGGCGGTAGGCGGCCAAAGCGCATGCTGCCAGAGATAAGAATTTTGAGTCCAACTTTTGATAGCTCAGCTTGTGCAACTTCTGTGCTTTGTAGCTGGGCAGTTCTGATTTGGTATGTAAAGGATCACAGGCCATTGGCCAGTCCAGATCAGAACATTCCTCATGTGTGTGGCCGTGAGAGCTTCCTATACAGACGGAACCTCGCGACATGTTCTCTGTTCCACCGGCTGGACTGAGGACCACGGCACGGAAGCGGAGAAAACTTCACTGAAAGCACTCACGTGCTGTTCGTTGGAGCTGTCATCAGCTTTTTGGTAGTAGAACACACAGGGTCGGATTCTGGAAGCATTGGCTCAAAAATCCAGAGACGTCCTTTTGGGAGTGTATTTTTTTACCACAGGAGCCATCGCTTTTTCGGCACTTTCCCGTGCACAGTGCTGCCGCCCGGCGACCCCGGCGCCAGGGCGAGCGGCAACGGCAGCGGCTCCTTCGACGCCTCTGTCGCTTGGCGCACGCGCCCCTGTGTCGCTCGGTGGTCCGAGGTGAGCTTAGCTTCCCTCCCGCCACATGATGTCACATCTCCCGCCTTCTCCCAATGTGTTGGTGGAATCATCACCTGTGCCATGAAAGAGACGGATTTTCGTTCATGACGGAGGGGGTCGATTTCCAGGTGCAAAAAGATAGTTGTGCACTGTACTTGACCTCCGGAAATTTCATTGGTGCTTTCTTGCCAAGCCATGTTGTCAGGTGATGAGGCCACCGTTCTGTAGAGTGTGCAAAGACGTTCCTTTATTTTTTGGGGGTTTCTACACTCTGGTGGACATCGCCAATTTGTAAATTCAGAGTAGCGAAACCACTGTGGATCGTTTATCTTTCATTCTTTTCTTTGAGGCTTGGTGAGATTGAGACATTCGAGCAGTTCCTTTCTGCAGTTTTGGAACGAGATTCCTCATCCGGTATGTGCAGTGTACTGTGTACCTTATAATAGTGTGGGGTTTTCGGATGTTTTCGGTGGATTTTCCAACCGAAAAAAGACACTGCTTCGAAGGCCTGTGTCCTTCTTCCCTTCGGCGTTTCGACGGCTCGTTCGGATTCGCTCCCAGGGGGTGAAAATGCCATTTCGGCCGCCGCCACCATGAAGGCCACCCGGGTGGGAGAAACAGAGCCACCCGGTACGTAACGTGGTCGTTCGAGTCTAACGAAGCGAACGATGTGATTTTGGGAAGGCAAGGATGTTCATCTTGGAATGATCACTTGAGATGAGTTGCCTTCAACTTGCCAGCTGGGGCAGGAGGCCGCGTGGTCGGTCGTGTTTTGGCCGGCCTTTGGCGAATTTTGTGCCCAGAGCATCACCTTCGTGCCCAGCGTCGGAAGTTGTTCAATATGTATATAGTTGTATGAACCGCGTGTCGTTTGCTTGGCCCATCACCCTCGTGCTTTTCCATCTTTCGGACACTATACGTACTATATCTCGGACGGTGCCGCCGTGGTCGGCGCCCAACACGCCGCAGGCGCGGAGCGCCCGGACGTCGTCGCTCTGGAGCAGCGAAGCTGCTGGAGTGAGGCACCGGGTGTGTGCTTGTTGTGAGGTGTTCGGCGCGTGCCAAGTGCGTCCCCTCGGAATTCCGAGGTGGGTTTTGGGTTGGAGGGTTTTCTTCATATCTTCCGGAATGGGTGGAGTGACGTTTTGGGTTGCTTCATAGGTCAAAGGACCGGTGAGAGGGCTCCGCCCTGAAGATGTTGTTGTTTCCTTTTGTAAAGCACCCAAGTGGCAAATGTATTTTTCAAGCGTTGACATCGTTCCATTTTCGGAGCGGAAGGGACCACCATTATCATTGAAAGGTCCAATGTCGTTGTCTAGTATTGGCCGAGATGATTCGTTTTGACCTCGTGAGTGGCAGACCTTTTCTGAAATGGTATACTGAATCTCATGGTCTCACTACTTGGGCATCAGGCTTCTGGAGAACTTCATATTTGGAATGAGAGTCAGTTTGGTTGCATGTGTTATCAATGTCTCAGACGTTTACAAGCGTCCAGTGAACCATCTTCCTTCTCAGTTTTTGGGGTTTCTGCGTGCGAGGTTTGGGCCAGCCCAACCCCTGGGCAACCGATGCAAAGAGTCCAACGAACCAACCGAAGTCACCGGACCACAAGAACGGCCTCCAACCACCGAAACGGCCTCCCCCCCAAAGAAGGCCTTCTCTGGTCCTCCGGTTTTGGGTTCCACCTCCACACCCAGATTGTGCGAAGCGAAAGCCAAAGAATCCCAATTGGGTAAAAAAACACCTCGACATCAAACCCGAGAGATTGATCAAAAGAGATGACAAAAAGTGACAAAAACACATCGGAGATCAAAGAAGAGACGTCCCTACGTTTCCACAGAATTCACTTCAACGACCTCCGTATTCTTGGTAGTTACATCTCTGGGAAAGCCATGGTCGGTGGAAATCTAGCGTCACCAGATAGAATCCTCGCAGCTCTTGCAGAAAGAATCCGCAGCGGATCACAGCGAGAAAAAAGAATAGAACAAACTTCACCAATCACCCAAATTGATAGGAGCAAGGACGCTACTGGAGGCTCCTGGCCTTACTACTAGGAACAAGAAGCTACTAGGGGCTCCTGGCATCGCTACTAAGAGCAAGGACGCAACGAACGGGGCTCTGTAGCACCCAGTCGCCAATCCTCCCGCCCATTTTGAGGCGAAATACCCGCTGAGTGAGGACGCAACGCTAATGCCTTTCAAGTAGATCTGAGGCGCAAGCGGCCACAGCAGAGGAGCGACCGACTGGTTCAGAGGATCAGGTCTCTTTCAAAGCAGCCGAAAGGGCCAGCAGGCCATGACTTCGGCCTCCTGCCGGCGTTCATGTCCGAAGTGCTTCCAGGGAAGCCATGCGTCCAAAAAGGTGCGATAGCTGTTGTGGTGCTTGCATCCCTCTATAGAGGAATTCACGAGGTGGCGCGGGCAGTTGTTCTATCGGACATCCCAACTCTTGTCTCAACTCTTGCCATCCATGAGTTTTTTTTGATTCTTGTTCATCTCGTTTTTGCACATCGCATAGATTGATAGGCGTTTGTGCAAGGGATTTCAGAGTAGATAAAGGCTGATGTTCTTATGTATCAACCACACCTCTTGATATCTAATCTATACAATATGGTTGCTTTTGCACAACAGCGCTTGATGGTAGAAGATGGTCGAAGCAATCTCTTTGCTGAGTGGTGGTGGCAAGATCCATCTTTATCAGAGGTCAAAAGAGTCTCATGAAGATGCCGCCCACCTCACACTTAGGAATGCCGGGCCAAAGGCCTTTGGTTTTGCTATCGGCGGATGTGTTCTGCCCAGGAATTCACTTGCAAGGTTCAGGTTTGCATGCGCTGCAGCCAGTGACCGTAGCATCTGCAGATTCTTTTGGTTCGTTTCGACTTTCGTCGTCTACAGATTGAAGTTCGGTACATCGATATTTCCATGTTCAGTGCGCCGTCAAACATGTGTTCATTCTTGTTTCAAGCCTGGCTGCACCCTGTAGGATGAAGCAAAACGCCTTTTTAATCGGGATGCGATTCCCCTATGCAGGTGGCATGTGCAGAACCACTGACTCCCTTGGACAGAAACCCAGTTCATCAGGTTTGGAACGTTGATTTTTTCCGTTCAAGGTAGAAAACCCTACCGCGACGAAGAGCAGAACCTTTTGTTGCCCCTCAAGCATTGAGGCATGACATGGTATTCTCCCCCTACTCTTGAGAAAAGCATAGTAAATAGCCTTTTGAGTTGCATGGGTTTCTATCACGCTTGCGTACGCACAAATGTTCGCGGGAGTCCAAGTCTTTTCAAGATGCTGCTGACGGAAGAGATTCTTTGCCGTTTGAGGCGCTTCCCTCTCAGCGCGATTGTCACAGCGCCACAAGCGGGTGGTCGTGTTCATGTTGAGAGTCCGCGCGAGCGCCCCGCCCGCGGATGTAGGAAACCATCGCTGTTGTTGTCCGAGCGAGACCGAGTTGCAAGTTTGGGAGGTCCGAACGGTTTGGGAGTTATGTATGTTTGTTTACTAGTTCATGTAAGTTTTTATTATCATGACGCAATTTTTTTCTCAGGTGAGAAACAGACATCATGACATCGATGACCGTCATCCAGGTACCACCAACGCGGCAACGGCTTTGGGCCACTGGGTTCCGTCTATGCGTTGGGATCGACAAAACACGACGAGGAAAGTGGGTGGTTTCTCCATCACTTAGTAATAGCTGAAACAGAACGAGGTGGACGGAGTTTTTTTTTGTTTTCCGTCCAGCAAGAGACATGTTTTCATGAACCATTTCGTTCATGTTTTGGGTCACACATAGCCAGTGGCCAATGGAACGCCGGCGATGGACATCTATTTTTCAACTAGCGCCCCCGCGGCCAATCAGATGAGAGCTCTGCTGGAGAGCTCTGCTGTCAATCACCCCTGTCAACCACCAGAGGACCCAACACCAGAGCTGGGATCTCCACCATTCTTCTGTCTCTTGGGACCTCAAGAACCAGATCTTGCACACCTTGCCATGACCCATTCATCACCGTGGCACCCACCCGCCTGCTGCCGGTGCCGCGGGATCGGCTCGGCTCGGGCTCTGCGGCTCGGTGGCGGCAGGACTGGGCTGCCCTACTTCAGCGTCTTCCGGATGAATGTGGAGGTGGCGCGCGAGGGCTCAGATGGTGAAAGACAAGACATAGCTGGTTGGCAGAAGAAACCTCAAGTTCCTTGGTGCTTGTGGTACTTGTGGTGGTTTGGGTGTCTCAGGCTGCATGGTGCTTGTGATAGGTTCGGGTAAAACCTATGGGGGGTTGCGCCAAAGTCTGGAAGTCATTGTTTCACAAAGATCGTTCCACTCAGGCCAACACCCATGAAATCTGTCCATTTGCAACTGGCTGCAGCCTCTTCTTCCTGAAACAGCTCCGGAGAAACCCACCCGGTATCGGTGCCTCGGGTACCCGGTCGGTGGTGCCGACGGTGCTGCCCCACCGTCCTCGCTCCGACG